GCACCTACCTCTTGAAAATACTGTATAATTTACCTTTTTGTTTTATCTATTGATTATCTCCCCCACCAGAATGTAACCTTAGCTCGTTTCAAGCAGAACCAGAAAAAAAGATGTGAATGCAAGTAGCTCCTTTGAAAGGCATTTGCCAGAAAGCACAGTGAGGGGAGGGAGGTGAAAGAGGAAAGAGAAGAAAGTTAATACAGTGTATGATATTGAGCCCGCTAATACTAGAGAAACAGGAGCCATCCTACTGGGACCCTCAGAAAGACTGTGTAGGTGTGTTTTAGAATCATCTCACACTTCACTGGTTGAAGATCACTCCTGGGAATTAACCCTCCAGCATTTCTGGATTACTCAGACCAAGCCTGCTTCTGTGTCCAGAACATCCTCTGGCAGATAGACGTAGAAAGACATGAGCATGTATGGTCACTGTCTCTGAGACCTCAAAGATAAACAAAGAAATATGGGCAGGTACCAAAAGCTTCACGACCATAGAGACTTTTGTCTCTCTGTGTATTTATTTTAACTGATATATCCCAAAGGTCTAGAAAAGACCCTGGCACATAGTAGGCACACAAAGAAAATCTATGTTAGATGTTGATGCATAAAGGCCCCAAAAGAAATTATATGAATTTAGAAAATACTTATGACTAAACAAAAGAGAAAATCCCACATGTCATAACTTGTGGGATAAAGCTAAAATGGTACTTTGGAGTTTTTTGGTTTTTTTAAAGATTTTATTTATTTATTTGACAGAGAGATAGCACAAGTAGGCAGAGGGGCAGGCAGAGGGAGAGGGAGAAGCAGGCTCTCTTCTGAGCAGGAAGCCTGATGTGGGGCTCGATTCCAGAATCCTGGGATCATGACCTGAGCCGAGGGCAGCCACCTAACCAACTAAGCCACGCAGGCACCCCTAAAATGGAATTTTGAAATAAATGGATAGTCAGAAATACTTGTATTACTAAATAAGAAAAGCTAAAAATTAATAACCTAAACATTCATTTAAGTCCTTAGGAATAAAAACAATATAATAAGCTCAAAGAAATCCAAATAAAGAAGTAAAAGATGAGAACAAAATTTAAATAGACAAGAAAAGTATGAAGAAAATGAAATAAAGCAAGAGTTGGTTTTTAAAAAATAATACTAAACTGATATTAGCAATTTTCATCAAGAAAAAAAGAAAGAAAAAATACAAATTAAAATGTGATTAAAACAAGAACACAACTGCAGATAGAGAATGAAAAGAAAAAAATAAATTTAACTGGTAACTAAGCACCTTCCTCCAAAGAAAATATCAGAACTGGATGGCTTCACAGGCAAGTGTCTACCAAATGCTCAAAGAAAAAACCACCCCAATTTTGTGCAAACTTTTCTATAGATGACCAAAAAAGAGGTGATGGGAAGGATTATTTAAAGAGGCTACTTAATTAGCTGCAGTTATGTTCAGTATGTTACAAGTGATTGTGTGATGCTGGTACAGAAAGAGAAATGCAGATCAACAGAATTGCACAGAGTCCATGAAGAAGTATGCATCCATACAAGCAGCGTGTATGATGGAGACACCAAACAGGAAGGACCATGCAGTATAAATTGTGCTGCAGCAAATGGCTTTTCATATGAGGGAAAAGTGAAATTGAAGGATATAAATAAAAAGAGAAAAAAAAAATGAAGTCCCAAAAGTTCATCTTCGCTTTTGTTTCCTTTGCCTTTGGAGACATATCTTGAAAGAAGTTTCTATGGCTGATATCGAAGAGGTTACTGCCTATGTTCTCCTCTAGGATTCTGATGGATTCTTGTCTCATGTAGAGGTCTTTTATCCATTTTGAGTTTATCTTTGTGTACAGTGTAAGAGAATGGTCGAGTTTCATTCTTCTACATATAGCTGTCCAGTTTTCCCAGCACCATTTATTGAAGAGACTGTCTTTTTTCCACTGTATATTTTTTTCTGTTTTGTCGAAGATTATTTGACCATAGAGTTGAGGGTCCATATCTGGGCTCTCTACTCTGTTCCACTGGTCTATGTGTCTGTTTTTATGCCAGTACCATGCTGTCTTGGTGATCACAGCTTTGTAGTAAAGCTTAAAATCAGGTAACATGATGCCCCCAGTTTTATTTTTGTTTTTCAACATTTCCTTAGCAATTTAGGGTCTCTTCTGATTCCATACAAATTTTTGGATTATTTGCTCCAGCTCTTTGAAAAATACCGGTGGAATTTTGATCGGAATGGCATTAAAAGTATAGATTGCTCTAGGCAGTATAGACATTTTAACAATGTTTATTCTTCCAATCCAAGAGCATGGAATGGTCTTCCATCTTTTTGTGTCTTCTTCAATTTCTTTCATGAGTGTTCTGTAGTTCCTCGAGTACAGTTCCTTTACCTCTTTGGTTAGGGACTTCATCAAGATCAAAAGCTTCTGCACAGCAAAGGAAACAGTCAACAAAACAAAGAGGCAACCCACAGAATGGGAGAAGATATTTGCAAATGACAGTACAGACAAAAGGTTGATATCCAGGATCTATAAAGAACTCCTCAAACTCAACACACACAAAACAGACAATCATATCAAAAAATGGGCAGAAGATATGAACAGACACTTATCCAATGAAGACCTACAAATGGCTATCAGACATATGAAAAAATGTTCATCATCACTAGCCATCAGGGAGATTCAAATTAAAACCACATTGAGATACCACCTTACACCAGTTAGAATGGCCAAAATTAGCAAGACAGGAAACAACATGTGTTGGAGAGGATGTGGAGAAAGGGGAACCCTCTTACACTGTTGGTGGGAATGCAAGTTGGTGCAGCCACTTTGGAGAACAGTGTGGAGATTCCTCAAGAAATTAAAAATAGAGCTTCCCTATGACCCTGCAATTGCACTACTAGGTATTTACCCCAAAGATACAGATGTAGTGAAAAGAAGGGCCATCTGTACCCCAATGTTTATAGCAGCAATGGTCACGGTCGCCAAACTATGGAAAGGACAAAGATGCCCTTCAACGGATGAATGGATAAGGAGGTGGGTATTAGAGAGGGCACAGATTGCATGGAGCACTGGGTGTGGTGCAAAAACAATGAATACTGTTACGCTGAAAAGAAATTTTTAAAAAATGAAAACATTTTAGAAAAAATACGTAGGTGGGTTTCTTTATGAACTCCTGAAAAGGAAGACAAAGAATCATAGATCCTAAAGGAAAGACTGATAAATTCAACTACTTAGAAAATTAAGAACTGGGAGAAGTTATCTGGAAAGCACATAATCCACAAAAGAGATTTAAAAGAAAACCTACCAAAAATAAGGAAAAAGAAAACCTGTTAGAAAAATGGGCAAAGGAAGACACTTCACAGAAGCAGAAACACAAATCTAAAATTTGAAAAGGCACTCTATTCTCATTAGTAATCAGAAGAATGTAAATTAGACCAGGAGATTTCATTTTAAATGTACCAAAGTGACAAAAACTAAATAACCAGGCAATAAGAATTTCTGACACAAAGAGACTTTTTATACACTCCCGGTGAGAGTATAAATTAATATGACTACTTTGGAAAACAATTTGTCATTATCCAGCAAAGTGTAAATGCGCGTATCCTATGACACAACAATTTCTCCTCCAAAGATTATACTCTACAGAAAATTTTGCATCTATTTACCAGGAGACATACATAAACATATTTGAGGGGTGCTTGGGTGGCTTGGTCAGTTAAGTGACCAACTCTTGGCTCAGGTCATGTTGTCAGGGTTGTGAGATCAAGCCCTGCATCAAACCCCACATTGGGCACAGAACCTGCTTAAGATTCTCTCTCTCCCTCCCTCTCTGTTCTTGCTCTCTCAAAGAAAGAATGAAAGAAAGAAAGAAAGAAAGAAAGAAAGAAAGAAAGAGAAAGAGGAAGAAAGAAGAAAGAAAGGGATATTTGGAATATCATTGTTTTCCCCAGCAAAGAGAAACTAGAAATAACTCAATTTTCTACCAAGAGGAGAAATAATGGAACTATAGCTACATGCATTAACATGAGTAAGTATAATACAAAAAGGGAACAAAGCAAGTTGCAGAATATATACAATACATTTCCTTTAACACAAATGTCAAAAACATGGGAATCTAAGCAAAATTTAATTTAAGAATATAAAAGGCAAGGTTATAAAGAAATGTAAGGAAATGCTAATCACAAAATTCAAGATTGTAGTTATCCCTGAAAATGGAAGAGGAAGAAGGATATAATTGGAAAGAGGCACACTGGGCACTTCATAGGTACTGGAATATATGAATATATATATATGTATATATATTCATATATTCATAATGAGTATACATATATACACATTACTACCTTAACTATTGTTAATTTTTAAAAATTCCTGCCTCACAAGTAATTTCAACACAGCAATACACAAAACAGCAGTTATGATCTTGGCACTGGTCTAACATCACATGCAATTGCCAAACTGCAACAAATGAAGAAAAGAGGGCAAATTCTCATTACATAGTGTGGGCTCAGCCTCCTCAACTCATCACTGGTAGTAGTAAAGTTCTGGGTGTTATTATATATGGAATATATTTAATATACTGGCAGTGCCTCTACTGGCTGCTGGACTCTTCCTGACCATAATGGTCAAAATCCTTGGCTCCCACAACAGCATCCTACAGACTTGTCTTAACCAGATGTATTCTCCATAGGGATGCACTATATTACATAGACAAATCAAAATATATTTATAGCTTTTTACCCTGTATTTCAATTAAAATTTAAGTCTCTTTCGAATAATACATCAATTAGGTTAAATCTATTTTTTTAAAAAACTCGTTATCAGGAGTTATTAAGAAAAATTGCTACAACGGATCCCGGCGGGCTGTGTGCACAGCCGCGTTTGAATGGTTTACAGTGGGGTTCAGCGCAAGAGCGGAGGAACGTTCTGGGCTGTTGGGCTCAGGTGATCAGTGCCGGGTCTGGGCTGAGGCGTCCTGAGGCACCATGAGGCATTGGTATTTAAGAGACTATGGCATCTGAAGCCCACAATGTTAAAAAAAAAAAAAAAAAAGAAAAGAAAAGAAAAGAAAAAAAGCCTTTTGTAATAATATTGAGGATCATTCCACTGATCTTCCTAGAAAAGGGATCTCAAATTTTACTAATAAGAGCATGAAGGAGGTTAGTAAAGCTCCCAAACTCTTGGCTTTACGTAAATAGAACAGTTGGACAAGCTGTGGAAAACCCAAATAAACTACATCAGGGGATCTACCACAGAAAGAAATTGCATCATCCTTTTCCAAATTCTGGTTGCAGGGAAAAAAAACAGTCCCCTTCAAGTGGTGGCTCTGACATGGCAAATAAAGAAAATGAACTGGCTTGTGTAGCCCACCTGCCTGAAAAGGTACGCCATGATCATCGAACATATTTGGTTAACTCCAGCGATTCTGGTTCTTCACAGACAGAAAGCCCATCATCAAAACATAGTGGGCTTTTTTCTGAGGTTTCAATGGCACAGGTTTTGTTCAGCAGGAATTTGAGATTGAATGTAGCTGTAACATTCTGGAGAAAGAGGAGTAGAAGTGAACTTGTAGTTTATTGGGTGAAGATAGAAGAACTTGGAGCTGTTGTGGACTGCCTTCCTGTGCTCACCAATAGTTTACAGGAAGAAAAACCATACATCTCACTTGGCTGCTGTGGAGATTTGCTGCCTTTAGGAAAGCTCCTACTGAAAAGCAAATTTGAAGAATATATAATAGTTGGTTTAAACCAGCTTCAAGCAGTCATAAAAAGGTGGTGGTCAGAACTATCATCCAAAACAGAAATTATACATGATGGAAATATTCTGATTGTAAAACAACAGTTAAGGGGATTATGGGAACAGGAAAACCATCTTACTTTGGTTCCAGGATATACTGGTAATATAGCCAAGGATGTAAATGCTTATTTATTACAGTTGCATTGACAGACTTCATCTACTAAAGAACGTTTTATTATTCAAAATAATTGACTAAATTTTCTTAAAAAAAAAAAAGTCTCATCTGAGAACTGTGAATTGTGAAAAGAAATCAAAATCATTTTCTTTTTTTCTTTGAAAAGCCACATATGAAACCACTAATGAAACCCTAACAATCTACTTCACATTGAAGTAGAAAAATATCCAGAAGGAGCAGCTTCAACTTCAATGAGGTGGAAGTACACTATGAAGATTGCCTGCCTTTGCTGCATTTGGGATTTACATGGTTATTTGGTAACACTATTTAAGAACTACTGGTCTTGGGGTGCCTGGGTGACTCACTGGGTTAAGCCTCTGCCTTCGGCTTACGTCATAATCTTGGGGCCCTGGGATGGAGGCCCACATAGGGCTCTCTGCTCAGCAGGGAGCTGCTTCCCCCTCTCTCTCTCTGACTGCCTCTCTGCCTGCTTGTGATCTCTGTCTGTCAAATAAATAAATAAAAATCTTTAAATAATAATAAATAAATAAATAAATAATAAAAGAACAACTGGTCTTAATGCAATCCTGCATAAGAATATAAGTTATACAAAAAAAAAAAGAATATAAGTTATACTATGTCAAAAAGAAGATAGGACTTATTACTAGGAATCATAAAGACTAATCATCGTGACTTTTTTGAAGATTGTGTTTTAGAAGAAAACACTTAAATGTGTGCAGCTAGTTTCTTTTTTTTTTTTTAATTTATTTATTTGAGAGAGAGAGACAGTGAGAGAGAGAGCCTGAGAAGGGAGAAGGTCATAGGGAGAAGCAGACTCCCTGCAGAGCTGGGAGCCTGATGCGGGAGTCGATCCTGAGCCTCCAGGATCGTGACCTGAGCTGAAGGCAGTGGCTTAACCACCTGAGCCACCCAGGTGCCCCTAGTTTCTTATTTTGAAAAGACTTTGCAAGTTTAACATGTCATAGCAAATAATCAATACTAAAAATTTGTCCACACTGAGACTGTGTATGCAAAATGCCTTAATTATTAATAAGCCAACGTGTATGATACCAGTACCTGTTTAAAAAAATTAAAACTGACCATGCTTCTGGCATAATAAAATCATGGATTTAAATCAGGGGTTTCCGCTCATGTAGGATGTGGTTCATAAAACCTATTCCATACCATTTTTAAAACTTGAGAATATTTTTAGGATCTCTGATTTTTTTTTTGCCAGAATCATTGTGTCATGTACGTATCTATTATTCCTATATAAAAGAGAAAGGTGAATATGTATTTGTATGAAGCCTTAACTGGAAATGTCCATGGAGTTGGCTAATTTATATTCACTTTTTATTATATATAGATTCCTAATATTTTCAGTTCTGTATCATTTAAGCTTTCTTCATTTGAGTAAATTTACTAAATATTTCTAAAAAAAAATTGCTAAATCAAAGTCTGTCTGTAGGATACAGCTGGACTATTCTCATATTATTGTAGAATAAAAAGGCATTAGTTCTGTCATTTTCTTTTAATGTTAAGTTTAGCAGTTACTTATAGAGCTAAGTATTCATCTACCCTATGACAGCAGTTGCACATGCACATATTTACTTAAGAGAAATGAAAATTTATGTCCACAAAAAATATGTGCATATGTCCACAAAAAGACTTGCTCAAACAGCTCTTTACATAATAACCCAAAACTGAAAACAATCCAAATGTCCATCAACAGAAGACTAGATAAATAAATTGTGGTATATTTACACAATGAAATACTATTCAAATTTTTTACTTTATTTATTTACTTATTTTTAGAGAGAGAGAGTATGCAATGGGGGCAGAGGAGGGGGGAGAGAGAGAATCTTAAGCAACACAAGGCTCTATCTCACAGACCTGAGCTGAAATCAAGAGTCAGACACTCAACTGACTGAGCCACCCAAGCTCCCTTCAAATTTTTTAAATTAGCTATTAATGCATATAAAAATATGAATGAATCTTCAAACTTTATACTTAGCAAAAGCAGCCAGATACAGATTATGCATTACATAATTCCATTTATATGAAGTTCAAAAGAATTTGAATTTAATCTCTAGTGATTGAAATCGAGCAGTGCTTGTCTATGGGCATGCAAATTGACTAGAAATGAGCACAAGAGAATTTTTGGGAGTGACAGAAATATTTATCACCTCAATTGTTGTCACATGGGGTATACATTTATCAGAAGTCAACAAATCACACATGGAAGGTCTGTTCATTTCTCCATATTTAAATTTTACCTCAAAAGGACTTTAAGCTTTGGATGTTCCATATTAAATGTAAAAGAAATGAAATATTTTATTCTGGTAAATGAACATCTTTCAGCCTCTAATCTCAATGAAAAAAATTTTTCTGCTGTATTTGGCTCATTACAAAGGTATTTTTCAGGCAGCCTTTTAAGAGAGAAGGTACCTGGGGAAATTATGTATTGATGCACTGTGGCTTATTTGAAAAGTCATACAACAGTTTTGTACATTCATTAAAATTTATAATAAATAATAGATTCAAGAGTGTTTCATTGTTGGCATAAATCATTGGAAATGATCTGCTGTCATCAAAGTTCTCAGCTAGTCATGAAACGGAAATGCATAAGCAAACTATATACATGTTTACTCAACAGTGAAAGCTAAAAGGAACACAGAAGAAAATCAGCATAAGAGAGAAGAAACTCAGAAGGCCTAAAACCTTTAGTTTTATAGAGTAGTTGAAAGAACTGTTGTCCAAGTGGAAAATAGCTGGTAAAATATAATGAAGACAATATACTAGGAAAATTTATTGTAAACATTCTCAAGAGTTAACAAGCTACACAGTTAAGATAAGAACAAACTCTAAAGGCAAAATACAAGATACTGGGTAGGTCCACATGTGACCCTTTGTTATATGAAGGAAGCTACTCTAAAGTTAGAATCTGGCCTTCCTCCAACTCTACACATAAACACATAAACATAAACACACACACACACACACACAGAGCTTATTAGGTCTTTCCAGATCCAGACAGGAAATTTAGTGATTGCCTATTAAAAAATGAAAATGGGTATAAAAGGCCCCAACTTTCTAAGCAAGAGAAATAATATTAAGCTTGACAGTATGCTTTGAAACTAATATTTTGCTGCAGTCAAAAAGCACTTCGAATATTATTTGTTATTGATGACTTGTATCTGTTGCTAATGTTACTTTTTTAAGATTCATCCCTCTGTGTCACTCTGGACATTGACAATGGAGATGGAAAAGAAAATAGGCCCCATAGGAGACAATTAGGGCCAGTGGATAGAAGTTAAGGGACACCAACATTAGTGCAAGATGAGGAAGACAATTCTCACTCTCAAACATAGAATGAGCTGCCATGAATTCACGAGTCAAATCTAACCCATATGACACAACTTAACAGGATTGTTGCAAAGGCAAGAAGTATAGTGGTTAAAGAGGATGTTCTTTGGAGTGACAGCGTCCTCTGTTTAAATTTGGCCAAGAAATGGAATTTACAGCTCCAAATGTGGTTGTCCTCATCCTTGTAGCATTCTGGTGTGGATTAAACAAGATGGTATGTGCTGAAGGTCTTACCACAATGTGTGACACTGGTAAGAAGTCAGTAGTGTCATGATCAGAGGGAATGAATTCCTTACCTGAAGGAGGACCAGCAGGTGAGGAGATGAGGCTCCACATCTGATATCCAGGCCAATTCCAAGAATACTTGAATCAGTGAAACAATGCCTTGCAGATAAAGTACATATTTTGAAGAGTGATGAGGAAGTGTTTTTTATAGCTTATTAATATTTTATACATCAAAAAATAAAGAGATATGGTTATTTTATTTAGAAAGGGAATTATGTGAGCATGGTTGTGTTTAAGTATAAGAACTAATCTTCTTGTCTTCAATTCACTGAAAACAGAAGTTTGTCCAAGGTCGTGTTGGACAGAAGTTAATTAGCTAAAGGATACTAAATATCCAGTTTCATATAGTCAGACCTATGCAGCCAGTGACAAAGACCAGTATGGCCAGAGGGCTAAGTGGCTTACAGAAAGGACCAAAGAGGCGAAAGGGACCAGAAGGGTTTCATGAGGAGCCAACTTGGCCTCAAGGACACCTCTGCAGAGCTTGCCTTTAGCGTCAGCATGCTCAGTGTATCCTCTCCTGGAACACAAGGGCAAATGTTTTGCCTGTTCTTGGCTTTGGGTTCTCCATGAGAAAATTGACTTGACAAGACCACTCCCACTGCCTAAGGATGGATTTCATATAACACGCCTAGGGTTGCTAGATTCTATCTTCTTCTCCATTGCACTCTCTCTTCAAACACTGTGTTCCAATGCTGTTTCAGTATTTCTGACTATGTTCAGGATCAAATCTTAGTACCACCTCATTTCACTTTTATCAAGGAAGGTATAACTCTAAGCTAAACTGATATGAGGAACCTGAAGTGACAATGAGAAGAGGTAACAGAAATCACATGAGGGTGCCCAGAAAATCCTGTGCCCTCAAATTTAAGAGTAAGAAGGAGAGAGAAATTTAAATTAAATATATGGGATAAGTTCATTCATTCACTCAATAAGGATTTGTTGGGTATTGAAGTACTAGTAAGCCAAGTATTCTTCTGTAGATAGTACATTCTGTAGAATGTAGTATACATCCTAGCTGAGGACAACAGATGATAAATAACAGACATAAATAATTAAACTACATAGAGTATAGAGTAATAAGATACTTTGTGTATGGGGGTGGGTAAGTAGAATAGGGTGAGGGAGACTGGGACTGGGATGGTCAGATTAGGGTGGTGTTAAGAATGCCAGTCAAGGCAGAACCAACTGAGAAGGGAGAGTTAAACAGACACTTGATCAAATTTCAGTCCTCCAAAGTAAATCTTTCACCAAATAGCCAAAAAGAGATGAAAACTATAAGATAGGTGTTTTGTCATAAGAACTGTGGCTATAAATACATATCTATGTATATTTTTTTCTCACAATAAAACAAAACTTTTGCTGTAAGCATTTTGATCTA